ATCGCAGTTGGTAGCCAGACATTATACGTTGATACTGTCGACGTACGTACTTGGTACCAGTAGGTGTGCTCTTACTGAGTTAGGCAGGTCGCCCGTTTCGGTCAGGCTGATCTGTTAGGGCTAGGCGTAGGTTAAGTTTTATGATTAGGGTTTGAGTTTTAGGGTCAGGTTTCAGTGTTAGGGTTTAGGTTCCCGTTAAGGTAACGGTTAAGGTTATGGGTAGGCCTAAGGTTAGGGTTAGGATTATGGCTAGGTTTTGGGTTAGGGTTGGGTTTTAGGATTATGCACTTTAGGCTTAGGTTTTTTGGTTATGGTTAGGGTTTGAGTTTACGACTAGGTTTCAGTATTACGGTAAGGTTTTACAGTTAGGGCGATGTCTAAGGGCTACGGTTACGTTTACAATTTCGGTTAGTGTTAGGGTTAACGGTTGATATTTAAGGTTAGGGTCGCCGCCCGCTTCCCCATTCCTGGCTACCAACTTGCGATTTGGCCTAAATTTCTGCCCTTATTCCACCTACTTAAAACTTCCCAGTACTTTCCCTGGCAACTTCACTTTTACCCAGAAACTCCAGCATTCCTCTACCAGTCCTTCCATTTTCCCCACCCATATAATTCTCCTTCCCACCATTTCCGTGCGACAGGGAACTGCGATCTAACCAAAAAAACAGACATTCTCTTGAATTCTACTTTCACTCATATCTGCAACTGGCCAATTCCACGCCGTTGCCAACCAAGTGGAATACAGTCCCAGAGCACAGCACATGGTCTGAGTATTTGAGTTGGTGGCCTCAAAAGAGCAGTCGTGTGGTCGTGTTCCAATCCCACTGAGGAGGCGTGCGCAACATCGAGTCTGGCGACAAATATCTTCCGGGAATTTTTAGGGATGTCATCAAAGGGGACTGACTGGCTTGACGGAAGTCTCATTTTGCTGACCTCACATCGCGTCAGCATGTTCGACGTAAGAAGGCTGTATGAAGTCGGTTGATTGGATTTTTATCTTTACCGCTGCGTAGCAGCCGCTCCAGTGTCGTCTTTTCCGGCTCCTGTCTGGCAGTCGGCGGTCGCGACAACCCCGCTAACCTGCAGGCACACTGTAAACGCACAGCCACCCCCTCAGGCTCGATCTGAAGCGCCTCATGTCCAGCTGCTTCCACAAACTGACGTCCTCTCCCGGCCGGCGTCGCCTGTCAGCCCCTGGGCCCTCGTGATCATGCGCGCACCCAACTCACGCGGTCAACACTCCGCTAGTCACGTGCTCCTACAAACACGGCACTGGACAGGACGAATTTACTGTGTGTGGTTAACGGTGGTCTAAAATGCCTTGACAGCTACAGGATGCCAAAGCACAGCCACCCTCTCAGGCTCGATCTGAAGCACCTTTTGTCCATCTGACGGGAGTCACGGCAGTGCCAACAAATTGGCGTCATCTCCCGTGAGTCAGCCGCCATCGGCCTCGTGATCATGCGCGCACCTAACTCACGTGGTCAACACTTCGCTAGTCACGTGCTTCTACAGACACGGTGGTCTAAAATGCCTTGAAAGCTACAGGAAGTGGCCGGATAGTGACACACCACTAAAGCACAGCCGCTCTCAGACTCGATCTGAAGCGCCTTTTGTCCATCTGACGGGAGTCACGGCAGTGCCAACAAATTGGCCTTATCTCCCGTGAGTCAGCCGGCATCGCCTGTCAGCCCTTGGGCCCTCGTGAACATGCGGGTACCCAACTCACGTGGTCAACACTCCGCTAGTCACGTGCTCCTACAGACATGTCGGACTCGCGTAAACAACGCACTGTGCTACTCAGGCGCTCCCGGACAGACGCTTTGTCCTGAGAAGCTAGCGAACAGCCAACTCACGGCAACCCGCCCTGTATATGGAATAAATCGGTTCTGTCAGCCCGTTGACTCCTGACATTAGACGGGACGAGCTGGGTGTGTGTGGTTAAAGTCGATCCAATATCTCTGACCGCCACAATGCCTCCCTGGTAAAAAAAAAACAGTTCAAACAAAAGAAGCAAAGGTTACCCAACAGCATCTACTAGGACTGCACAGGGATTTCCGCGGGCGAAATTCTGTAATGGTAGAAGTTTTAGACTAATTTACTTTTTGACTACATTGGGTTATTCGGCACCTCGAGGACGACAGTAACGCCGTTGGCGAAGTCAAATTCCGTAGGGGGCATAAACGAAGGCCAGCTACGACTGTTGCTGTTGACTGTGTCCACTGTGTGTTCCACAGAAAGGTGAGAGCTAGGACGGTGACATATGCATGAGTT